GTATGTACTCTGCCTCCTACCACCCCACTATTTTAGCCGTGGGAAAATTACACACAGGTGTTGTAGTGTGGAAGCATACATATTTTGACTGTTGTCCTTTACCTTCATAGAGTGTGAGATCTGTGTATTTGGATTTCTGTAAATATGGTAATGTCCATCCATCCATCTTCTCCCCCTTAATCCACTTCTCTTCAGCAGGGGCTTCAGACAAAGTGAGGTGAAGTGTCTTGCCCATGGATACAACAACAGCAGACATCAGTGGGAGTCCGTGGAGAAGGTCTTGTGGTGGGCTGGAACCCACGACCTTCAGGCTCAAAGGCCAATGCTCTACCAACTGAGCCAATGATATATGGTAATAATATATATCAATGATGGTGAGAGACACGTCCAACACACTGCAGTGGACCTTGCACAAGGAAAGATTTGGCCGCTTCACTCACTATAAATGAACAGATCACATCACTCCGATGCTGAGCTCATTCCACAGAAATCTAAAGACTCACTTGTTCTGACTTTTCTGTAAATCAAAATCTGTCTCTATCTGTGTTACATGTCATTGTGTTCTAATAATAATGCAATTCCCAGCTGCCCTGGGGCACACTGACAGAAGCGAGGTCCACAATGTGGATGAAGTGTCTTGCCTAAAGACACAACAACAGCCTCTTTACAGCCACAGCTACTCCAATGTGACACCATACAGTGTGACATGTGCTATATAAATAAATGTTGTTTCCGTGGTTGGTACCTGGGAGTGGGTTCTGTGGCCGGGACGGAGCGGTGCATTGTGATTGGTCGAGTGAAATACACGAAACAGCCAGTGCCACAGAAACGAGCGCCAGATGTGCGCGGGAACGGGATGTTAGCATCCTGGAAGAGAAGGTCAATCGACTTCATTGGAAAGATTTACAGACAGAAGCTTTATAGTGACGTACACATATACATGTATAGATTGTGATAAACATTATAAAAATATTCAAGCAAGTTTGGAAATTTGAAATGTTGCTATATGAATGTATAATAATGTCATCTGTAACCTATGATTAAATTCGGCTTTCTTCTTGCTCTTTGTTATTGAAGCCATATGTAAGCATATTTTACCAAGCACCAATCAGCTAGCGCTACTTGCTAGCTAAAGACAAATTTTGGTGACAGAAGGCTCCCTATTGGGTAGTTGTTAGGGAACATATCTGGATTTACAAAAACAATATTAAAAAATATAAAAACCAGGATTACAGAAAGCGCTATGTTTTAAGCCCAAAATGGTGAGATGGTGAGTTAACTTTTAAATGTAAGTCAGTAGGAAATAAGCCAGAACAAATTGACAAATGCGCCAATGAGCACTTCCCTATTAGGCTTCTTTGAGGCTAGCGGATTAGCATTGTCCTGTTTTCTGTGTGTTTTACCTGATAAGAGCCGTACGTGTTTGTGACTCGAGGAAAAACCTGTAGAGATGAAGGGACAAACGGAGGCGTGCCGTCCTCCTGAAGTATCACAGCCATATTATTATCATTATTATAAATCTATTTCTCATGGTTCACTTATGTTTGTTTTACCATATCGGACTCGAGGCAGGAGACCAGCTGCCGTATACAAGGCTCTAGACAGTTCTGGTTCCTCTTCACCTTCTGCAGAGATGTGTCTGTGAGAGTCTGAACAAAGGGAGAAAACTTTAAGACAAAGAATTACAGCCCAACACAAGCCTTCCAAACGTGTGCTAACAGTTAAACTCGCGCAGCTTTAAAGAAAGCACTTTGAGAAATGCTTAGAACAGTTTGAGGTCATTCTAGCTGCTTGTGGCACAGGGGACAAGTGACGCTTTTATACATTGTCTGTGTGTGTGTGGTGGTGGGGGGGGGGGGGGGATCTATGAAATATGACCGAAACAATGATATCTGTGTCTGGGTAACTGTTGTTTTGTATTTAAATAAATAAATGACAGACATGCATCAAAAAATATAAATACACACTGTACACAAAGCAGACACATGTGGCTCTAATCCCTCTCACTCATAAAACACACCCACACACAAACACATACTATCAGTATCACCTTGTGTATCTTGGTCTTCATGGAGGAGGGAATGTTTGTGGGTTGGACGAATTTAAAGGTTGGGGCTGCGTTGTTCGGATACTGAGCCGGAAACTGGACCACGAGCTGAACCTGGTGAATCCCGAAGTGAGCAGAGACCACACAGCTGCAGTTCACCGCATCCATCTGAACACACAACACACAGAACCTATGAATGATACACTGGATCTGGCTCCCACTCTGGTCTGCCCTCTCTGGTCTGCCCTCTCTGGTCTGCCCTCTCTGGTCTGCCCTCTCTGGTCTGCCCTCTCTGGTCTGCCCTCTCTGGTCTGCCCTCTCTGGTCTGCCCTCTCTGGTCTGCCCTCTCTGGTCTGCCCTCTCTGGTCTCTCGCTCTGGTCTCTCTCTCTGGTCTCTCTCTCTGGTCTCTCTCTCTGGTCTCTCTCTCTGGTCTCTCTCTCTGGTCTCTCTCTCTGGTCTCTCTCTCTGGTCTCTCTCTCTGGTCTCTCTCTCTGGTCTCTCTCTGGTCTCTCTCTCTGGTCTCTCTCTCTGGTCTCTCTCTCTGGTCTCTCTCTCTCTCTGGACTCTCTCTCTGGTCTCTCTCTCTCTCTGGACTCTCTCTCTGGTCTCTCTCTCTCTCTCTGGACTCTCTCTTAGGAGTGTGACAATATATACATTTTTCGATATATCGCAATACTTTCTTCCGCAATTTTTTTTTGTAAATTAGTATCAATTCTTAATATATGGTTACAATAGACATCTCCATTCCATTTATCATGAAATGAAGTGTATTTTTTAACTTACATTTTTTCTATTTGATGTATGCCATATATTGGAATATGGTATATTGCTGACCAATATATCGATAATCATCATATCGTGATATAATCGTTATCGTGAGCTTTGTATCGCGTATCGTATCGTGAGGTACCGTTACGTTCCCACCCCTACTCTCTCTCTGGCTTCTCTCTCTGGTCTCTTTCTGTAGGTTTTTCTTGAGATAAAAACAGAACTGGACCAAAGAGAAAAATAGCCGCGCACTGTAATAACGTATACAATTATTTAATTACTACCAACTATGTTTTGGGGTCATTTTTTAGAGGAAGACAAATGATGCAGCTGTTTCCCTGAGATAATTACCTTTACAATGAGGTATAACATGCCATGGCAGCAGATCAACTGGCTGGGAAGAAGTTTGGGGCAATCTCTAGTTTTGGGGCTATTTAAATCACATTTAAAACATTTATTCACAATCACTACAAACAGATCTATTATGAAACTTCAATATTTCATATACACAAAAGATTCTTGAATCAGTAAAAAGTACCTTTTGTCAGTCTCAAAACAAGACTTGTCAATGGGAACAAGCAAAAACATTTTATTTTAAGACACAAATACATTATCACCTGTAAATTTTTTGCAAAACACTGTTGTTAAATCTTTTTTTCAGAAGTCAAAAAGTTACCTCGACGTTCACATTTCTGATTTGCAGATTGACGAGAGAAAACTCCTGCTGCAGAGTTTGGGGCAGTCCAGCAGCAGCAGACTCTGGAGTGGAGCCGGGGGCCGACGGCGAGGTGCCTGGACGAGAAGAACAAAGAAAACACTAAACATCTGGATGTTCATCAATCCACAGATAGAGAAACTGTCAGGGAACCAGAGAGTTTAGACTGTTTCTTCTTTCCAAGGAGCAATGTCCAGATTCTATTCTAATCCATCTTGAAAAAGAGGTATGTTGTAGAAGCAGCTATGGAGGAATAAAAAGAAATGGCAGTGTGTGTAATGTGTCTATAATTCAAAAAGCCGGATTGAGATATTGGATTATTGAGGAAGCCCGGACCACCCGACCCTGTAATTATGGTGAGCATCTCTATCATGGAATAAAACCCCTTTTCTATCAGCTCTACTTGGCTCTACTCTACCCTGATTGGGAGTCTTTCCACTGGCTCCGTTTAACCAGTACCAGGTCCTTCTTTATTCACCGTGACTCAGGAGGAAGTCAGGCGTGTCTTGTCCAGGACCACAGTCCGGAAAGCCCCAGGCCCGGACGGCATCCCTCCTCGTGTCCTGAAACTGTGCTCTGAGCAACTTGCCCCTGTGCTAACAGACATTTTCAACCTGTCGCTAAGGAACTGTACTGTGCCGAACTGCTTTAAAGAGTTGACCATCATTCCAGTTACAGACAGGATTGTTTTGGTCCAAAGCTGCCTCCACCATCTTCTACTTTGAGTGAGTTCACATGCTCCAAGTATTCATGATGGGGTCTCTCTGGTCTCTCTGGTCTCTCTGGTCTCTCTGGTCTCTCTCTGGTCTTTCTGGTTTCTCTGGTCTCTCTGGTCTCTCTGGTCTCTCTGGTCTCTCTGGTCACTCTCTGCTCTGTCGGTCTTTCGCTGTGTGTATACTCTCAACAACATCATATAACCGCTAGTATAAAATGTCAGTTCTTTTTTGTCAGAAGAAAATGAACTGTATAATATTACTATGTGAAATGTTTTGTTCGTTTAAATCACAACTATTTTTTTCCTTTTGTTCAGGCAGGAGCACAGGTCTACGGCCCAGATCCAGGTCTCCCAGTCCAGGTGAAAAATCCAAAAAGTCCAAAGACAAGAAAAACAAGAATAAAAAGGAGCATAAGCACAAGAAGGAGAAGAAGGTAATGATTTTAAATGCTGTTTTACAACATCGAAAAGGGACAAAACCAGGACCACATCACAATCTAAACCTGGACTAAACCCAGACCCAGGTTTTCCGTCCAATTTAGACCATTTCTGGCCTCAATTATTATTATTTTTGACCAGTTTAATCCACTTTATAATGTAACAAAAGCTAAAGTCTTGAAAAAGCAACACTTTGAGACCACGGCCTGCTGTCGTCATCTTCATATACAGCATGATATCTTTTGCATACAGAACCAGTATTTGACACCTTGGGCTGTGGGTGGTCCTTTTCTGAAAAATCCGATCTAAAGATGGGACAGAAGCCTAAAACACATGCGTGTGAAAACCAGTGATTTAATAAAACTGTTTAGAGAGTGAGGAACGAGTGACATGGATTTGTATTTCATATTTCAATTGTTTGTGGAAATTCTATATCCCAGCTTTAAGAGCTGGTTTGGTCCTGTTGTAGAGTTGTGGCTGCATCTGAATTCATAAAACATGCCGCCTTTGTTATCCTTCCTAGTAATTTTAAACCCTTCTTTAATGTTTTTTTCCTGTGTTTTTTCCACCAGCTCTACTCTACTCTACTCTACTCTTCTTGAATCTCCATTACGCTTTAATATCTGGGACTGTATCCTAGCATCCTACCCACAACACCCAGTAGCACTCTGGTCAATCACTGTCAGTTAGAACTTCCAAGTACCAGCTCGGCCTGGATAGAACCAGAACCAAGAGGGACTAAAGAAAAACCTGGTACTGGTTAAACAGGGCTGATGGAAACACTCCAGGGCAGGGCAGAGCATGGGGCAGGGTAGGGTAGGGCTGTTGGAAAGGGGGCTTATGTCTCTATAAAATGCTGTTTCTCTGTATTAATGTCATTAATCCTGTTTTTTTGCAGAAGAAGAAGCATAAAAAACATAAGCACAAAGGCAAAGAGAAGAAAAGCCGGAAAGACGAGAGCAGCTCTGAAAGCGACAGCGACGAGAACGCGGCAGAAGTGTGTACAGAGGAACTGCTCCGGAGGTCTGTGAGGAAATCCACAAGGTGTAATCAGCCCAAGTCCCCAGAGCACTCTGATCATTCTGGCCCATTTCATTGAGCTGCTGCAGTGCACAGAATCTCCAGATTTGTCCCCAAAGCCTTCACTCCGATACTTGCGATACGAAAAAGATAAATAAATCTATAATAAGAATACTTTTGAGAAGGAAGTCATCAAGGAATACAATTGTAAATGCTGTTAGTTTGATAACTCTGGTCTCTCTCTGGTCTCTCTCTCTGGTCTATCTCTGGTCTCTCTCTCTGGTCCCTCTCTCTGGTCCCTCTCTCTGGTCTCTCTCTGGTCTCTCTCTGGTCTCTCTCTGGTCTCTCTCTCTGGTCCCTCTCTCTGGTCCCTCTCTCTGGTCTCTCACTTTCTGGTTTCTCTCGTCCTGGTTTTTCTGGTCTCTCCCTGTGTCTTTCTGTCTCTCTCTGGTCTCTCTCTCTGGTCTCTCTCTGGTCTCTCTCTGGTCTCTCTCTGGTCTCTCTCTGGTCTCTCTCTGGTCTCACTCTGGTCTCACTCTGGTCTCACTCTGGTCTCTCACTTTCTGGTTTCTCTCGTCCTGGTTTCTCTGGTCTCTCCCTGTGTCTTTCTGTCTCTCTCTGGTCTCTCAGTCCAAAAGCATCAATTCAAATCTGAAGTAACCATTTCTCTGTGTTTCAGGTTGAAGACCGTCCGCTCTCAGTGTCCTCTGTGAGGACTCAAGTCAAACCTCAACAATCCAACAATAAATTCTATCTATTGTACACTTGCTGCGGTTGAGTCATTATTTTTGTTTGAAACATTCTCAAAATAGAAGAACATAAGAGAACATAAGACATGTAATAAGAAACGCATATGAGCTGTTGGATCAAAGGGACGACCACTGTCTCTAAATTACTAAACCTCTTTGAACATTATTATTGCTGTTAAAGGTAGCTTTTTAAAATACTACAGATAATTATCATTATTGTTAAGATTCAATGCACTGAGGAGGAGGAGCAGTGTTTGGGAGAAGAGCATGGACATTTTCACAATGGGAGAAGTAAATAAAGCAGCATGAGGGCATCCAGAGGCCCTAGTATATATCAACATATGGTTTGAGGCCCCAGTATATTTCTATAGTTGTGTCACTTAAATAATGTTTTTAATGTTTGATATCCTTCTGGAAGCTATCTGAACCTATGGGCTCTTTTAAAACACACATTTTACATTGTGAGACATCAGAGTATGTTCTGCTGATCCTGCTGAGAACCTGCTGAACATCTACACATCACTGGAGAAGCAGTGAGTAAAACTACAATCTTTAAGTCACTTTCTGTAACTGTTTAGGTCAGTGGTAAACCTTTTGAAAATCGGGTTTATCTCATTTTGGAAATGTGGGGACCGTTGTTGCTAGGCAACAATGCCTTTCAAAGAACCCATAGTTCTAGAAATCTGGTTGCTATGGAAACCTTTGTAATGCCATAATCCCTTTATGACATCAACGGTTTCCATAGCAACCAGTGACAACTATGCAACTATGTGTGTGTGTGTCAAATATCTTAAGCTGTCAGACAGGACAATTCAAGGAGAATTGGAGTCAACCCGAGCGAAAAGCCAATGAGAGGATTTGACCCAACAGGAAGAAAACAGTGATGGACGACGGACGCCTGGACCAAGAGAAGAGGCTCATACAGGCTTTGCTCTTGAAGTGGAGACAGGCTGAGAGAGAGCATGCCCAATCAGAGCAGCTCTGGCAGGAGAAACTAGAAACCTGCCTGACTGCTGAGGATCTTGGAGGAGACCACCCATGGAGGAAGTCTGAGGAGGCTTGGTTCCTGAAGGAGAAATCCTTTCATATCCATGTGAAGGGGTTGTTGCGGTCTATGGAGAGAAAGCTGGAAGAAGATTCCGACGAGTGCCCGGACTTATACGAGCTTCAGGAGCAGTTCTGTGAAAGAAGATTGCACTTGGAGTGCCGTAGAAGTCAATGGCTTCAAAAGGATGCGTGGTTCCAAAGGGGAGAGGCCTCACAGAATCAAATCGAGTTTCAGAAAAACAGGATTTTCACTTTGAAGGCCAAAATAACTTCCTTGGAGCAGGAGCAAGCAACCATTTGTGAAAAATGCATAGAAAATGCGCTGACGGAAAGCATGGATCTCTCAGATAAGTTAGAAGAGAAGGCAAAGCTAACACTTCAGGAGAGCAACCTGAAAGAGCAGCTAGCTTTAAAAGAGAAAGCGTTAGTGCAGTCCCGACTCGATGCATTGAACAAAAACCAGCAACACATTCAGGAGAGACTCCAGTGGATGCAGCAGGAAAATGCACGGACAAATGTTTTTATGGACAGGTTTAACAGCCTAAGTCAGAGGTTTGGACAGCCTCCACTGAGCGAGGATAAGCTTCACAAAGACAAACAGACAGAAGTTGAAAAGCAAAGTCGGAACATGGTACAGCTGCTAATCGAGCCCCCAGCAAAACATCAAATCAATGTAGAAGAGATTTTTTCTGCCGGGGGTAGAGGCATCAAGTGCACGGCTTCCAAAACTGGAGAGTCATTTTATGTCAGTGATGCAAGACTCTTCCGGAAATTTCTCAGTGAGCAAAATCTAAAAGGCGCTAAAGAATGTTCAGAGCCTAAAGTTCGGCCCATAAGGAGGCCTGGATGTATTGGATTCAGGAGAGGTATGCTACTGGATCCAGCCAGGTGGGCAAAGCCACCGAGAAGACAAGAGGTGAACAAGCCTCCACCACAAGAAAAAGTCATCACTGCGGAAGACTTTCTCTCCAGAGGTGGTGCAGGGCTTAAATGTACGCTTAACCAAACTGGAGAGGTCTTTTACGTCAGTGATGCTAGACTTTTCCGCCAATTTCTTAATGAGCAGGAGTGTCAAGAAAACTTTGTTTGGATTGGTGAAGGCTCAGAGACAAACCAGGCTGAACTAGAAGAGAAAATCCACTTTGTTGAAGATTGTCTCCCACTTGGCAGTGGGAAACCATTGCCTTTTGGAGGTTTATTCACTTTCTCCAAATCAAAGGCCAAAAACAATAATAACCTTGAGGAGTAAGTTAGTGGCAAGAGTGGATAGGCTGAGGTGTTCCCAGCCTCCCAACCTCACTGAGCAGGAAGTGTCCTGTAAGTGAGAGTCATTTCAATGCATTTAGGGACAACTTTAAAAGTTTATGAAGTTTAATGGAGCTTTAACAAATTTCCAAAAGTTCTACTTTTGAAAGGGGGACCTCATAAACCAGCAGGGGCTACAGGAGTCTTGGAAGCCCTCCATGTTGATTCACAAATCAGCATGGAGGGCTGATCAGCTAAAGTCTGGAACAGCCTTCCATGAAATGTGAGACAGGCTCACATTTACTGGAAAGGACATTTTAACAGCTCTTTCGTGCAATTCCCTCGGTTAATCCCCTTGTTTGGTGATTTATTTTGTGTGTTTTTCTTTTTGTTTGATTTGCCTTCACGTTTGTGTTTGCTGCGTGTTTTGCTTTGCTTTATACGCCATTTGTTTGCATGTTTTACTGTTAACTTTATTTGCTTCCCTTAAGTTGAGTTTTTGCATTATTTTGCTCGCTTTTATCCATTCCTATAGGTTTATAGTGTGTTTAACTATTGTAATAAAATAAATATTTTTGTACTGTTGTAACACTGTTTCACGTCTCATCAATGTCCACGGCCCTGTGCGCTTTATTCTATCCGATAAGTCCAGTTCACATTTTTCCAAGGTACTGGCCCTGGGTGGCGCTGTTGGTGCTGCTATTCATTTTTTTTGTAGTAACCAAAGTTGAAAATCCACTCGGACTTCCACACATGCACGATTAAGCATTTCCTTAACACTTGCTTTAGGCAAGGCAAGACAGGTTTATTTATATAGCACAATTCATACACAAGGCAACTCAAAGTGCTGAACAAAATAAGAAAGCATTAAAATTAGTGCTGTCCAAAATATCGCGTTATTAACGCGTTAACGCAAATCAATATTAACGGCGTCATTTTTTTTATCGCCATTAATTTTTTTAATAATTATTAAAAAAAAAAAAAAATTTTTTTTTTTTTTTTTTTTTTACTTTTTATTGCAGACAAACACATATACAGAAAAAAATAGACACAAAGAAAAGGACTAGTTAAGATACATTGTAGACAGAGATTACAAACAATATGTAGTTGGAGATACAGGGGGCCAAAGAAGAAACCCAGAAGGGCACATAGGAGGGGGGGGACATGAAGTGGGAGATGGGGGGGAGGGGTTAATAAAAAAGGCAATACAAGCAAACAGTATACAGTCATAGATATACCGAAAGTAAACAGAGAAACAGCATAGAGTATTTACATGAACAAATTTACAAAAAAATTGTTTATCATCATCATAATGACACCATGATGTTTCTATACAGTCTATGGTCTATACCCACACATACACACACACACCCACACCCATAAACACACACACTCCACACACACATTGAAGGGGCTTTTTGTTACCAATTATTTATTTTGTCATCCATTTATTGATGATTTTGCATCAAATGTTAGTGTGTAATATAACACTACACATTGTTTTCAATAAAAAAGCAATTGCACACAGCACGCAAATGGGTGACTAATTTGCGATTAATCGCGAGTTAACTATGAAATTCATGCGATTAATCGCGATTAAATATTTTAATCGTTGGACAGCACTAATTAAAATCATAAACAATCACAGAACATTAAAAAGAAAGATAAAAATATAAAATCCCTCAGTTGTATGCACAGCTAAACAGAACTGTCTTTAACCTGTTTTTAAACATTGTTAGAGAGGAGGCCTGTCTCACATCTTCAGGAAGATTTTAGCAGCATGAATCCGAAAAGCAGCCTCCCCATGTTTAGTTCTGACTCTGGGCACTAACAGGAGTCCAGTCCTTGTGCTCCTCAGAGTCCGGGCTGGTTCGTATGGTACTAACATGTCACTAATACAGTGCGAAAGTATTCGGCCCCCTTGAACCTTTCAACATTTCGCCACATTTCAAGCTTCAAACATAAAACATAAAAAAAATATTTTTTGTCAAGAATCAACAACAATTGGGACACAATCGTGAAGTGGAACGAAATTTATTGGATAATTTAAACTTTTTGCTCCTGTGGAGGATCAGTGAGGGGCTGGTGCTCTGTGACTGGGTGCAGCTCTGACTGCCACCCCCCGACCCAGAAATGGATTAAGTGGAAGAAGATGGATGGTTGGATGGATGGATGGAATTTAAACTTTTTTAACAAATAACAAACTGAAAAGTGGGGCGTGCAATATTATTTGGCCCCTTTACTTTCAGTGCAGCAAACTCACTCCAGAAGTTCAGTGAGGATATTTGAATGATCCAATGTTGTCCTAAATGACTGATGATGATAAATAGAATGCACCTGTGTGTAATCAAGTCTCCGTATAAATGCACCTGCTCTTTGATAGTCTCAGGGTTCTGTTTAAAGAGCAGAGAGAACCATGAAGACAAAGGAACACACCAGGCAGGTCCGAGATACTGTTGTGGAGAAGTTTAAAGCAGGATTTGGATACAAAAAGATTTCCCAAGCTTTAAACATCTCAAGGAGCACTGTGCAAGCAATTATATTGAAATGGAAGGAGTATCAGACCACTGCAAATCTACCAAGACCCGGCCGTCCCTCCAAACTTTCATCTCAAACAAGGAGAAGACTGATCAGAGATGCAGCCAAGAGGCCCATGATCACTCTGGATGAACTGCAGATAACTACAGCTGAGGTGGGAGAGTCTGTCCATAGGACAACAATCAGTCGTGCACTGCACAAATCTGGCCTTTATGGAAGAGTGGCAAGAAGAAAGCCATTTCTCAAAGATATCCATAAAAAGTCTGGTTTAAAGTTTGCCACAAGCCACCTGGGAGACACACCAAACATGTGGCAGAAGGTTCTCTGGTCAGATGAAACCAAAATCGAACTTTTTGGCCACAATGCAAAACGATATGTTTGGCGTAAAAGCAACACAGCTCATCACCCTGAATACACCATCCCCACTGTCAAACATGGTGGTGGCAGCATCATGCTTTGGGCCTGCCTTTCTTCAGCAGGGACAGGGAAGATGGCTAAAATTGATGGGAAGATGGGTGGAGCCAAATACAGGACCATTCTGAAAGAAAACCTGTTGGAGTCTGCAAAAGACCTGAGACTGGGACGGAGATTTATCTTCCAACAGGACAAGATCCAAAACATAAAGCCAAATCTACAATGGAATGGTTCACAAATAGACGTATCCAGGTGTTAGAATGGCCAAGTCAAAGTCCAGACCTGAATCCAATCGAGAATCTGTGGAAAGAGCTGAAGACTGCTGTTCACAAACGCTCTCCATCCAACCTCACTGAGCTCGAGCTGTTTTGCAAGGAAGAATGGGCAAGAATTCCAGTCTCTCGATGTGCAAAACTGATAGAGACATACCCCAAGCGACTTGCAAATGTAATTGCAGCAAAAGGTGGCGCTACAAAGTATTAGCGCAAGGGGGCCGAATAATATTGCACGCCCCACTTTTCAGTTTTTTATTTGTTAAAAAAGTTTAAATTATCCAATAAATGTTGTTCCACTTCACGATTGTGTCCCACTTGTTGTTGATTCTTGACAAAAAATTTAATTTTTATATCTTTATGTTTGAAGCCTGAAATGTGGCGAAATGTTGAAAGGTTCAAAAATACTTTTGCAAGGTACTGTATATTTTGGTGCGAGGCCATGGAGAGACTTGTAACAAGCAGAGCTGTTTTAAAGTCTATTCTCTGAGCCACAGGAAGCCAGTGCAGAGACCTGAGAACTGGACTAATGTGGTCGTACTTCCTGGTTCTAGTCAGGACTCGAGCTGCTGCATTTTGAATGTACTGCAGCTGTTTTACAGCCTGTTTGGACAGACCTGTGAGCAGGCCATTGCAGTAGTCTAACCTACTGGAGACAAATGCATGGATAAGTATCTCCAAGTCTGCTTTAGACACTATGTTTTTGATCCTAGCAATGTTTTTTAGGTGGTAAAAAGCTGCTGATGTTACTGATTTGATGTGGCTATTAAAATTTAAGTCTGAGTCCAGTATTACCCCTAGATTTCTGACCTTGTTTGAAGGTTTTAGAGAGAGAGACTGGAGGTGACAGATGACGCTCTCTCATTGTTTCTGGGGACCAAAGACTGATTATAAGAAATCTAGTAAGCTGTAGGTAGACAACTTTCTCAAGGACTTTCCCCATAAATGGCAGATTTGAGATGGGACGATAGTTGTTAAGTACCATAGCATCCAGACTGCTCTTTTTTAGCAGGGGCCTGATGACTGCAGTTTTCAGGGCCTTTGGGAATATTCCAGAGTGAAGGGACATGTTTACTATCTGTGTGAGTGAAGGTAACAGACTGCTCAGAACAGACCTCAGAAATCTAGTGGGTAGTACATCCAGGCTGCATGTGGAGGAGCTCAGACTGGAGATCATCTCTTGGACAATTTGATCATTTACAGGTGCAAAGTGAGTTAGCTTAGAGAGCCTTTCTGGCTGTTGAATGGTTATCTGTGGATTGGAGACAATGGCGTTTTTGATGCCTTGAACCTCAAACTCATTGCATTTACGTTTGGAAATAAGCTCTAATGGCATCTGAACAGGGGGGTTTGTTAATCTATTAACTGTTGAGAACAGAACACGCAGATTGTTGCTGCAGCCTTCAATCATTTCAGAAAAATACCTTTCTCTCGTACTACGAAGCACCCGGTTAAACTCGCACAACTTATCTTTGAAGATCTCGTAATCAACCTGGAGGTTGGACTTGCACCACTTCCGCTCGGCCCTCCGGCACTTTCTCTTTTGTGTCCTGTCCGAGTCTGCTTTAGCCCACGGCGCCTTCTGCTTATTTGTCACTATTTTAACCTTCACAGGGCCAACGGTATCCAGAACATTCAAAACACTAGAGGTGACAGAGTTAAACAGTTAATCTACAGTAGAACTGTAAAAAGTTTATCATTCCCATAAATAGATCACTCGTATTTTCATTTATGCGCCTTCTTCGAACAGTTGCAGAACAGACCTCAGAAATCTAGTGGGTAGTACATCCAGGCTGCATGTGGAGGAGCTCAGACTGGAGATCATCTCTTGGACAATTTGATCATTTACAGGTGCAAAGTGAGTTAGCTTAGAGAGCATTTATGGCTGTTGAATGGTTATCTGTGGATTGGAGACAATGGCGTTTTTGATGCCTTGAACCTCAAACTCATTGCATTTACGTTTGGAAATAAGCTCTAATGGCATCTGAACAGGGGGGTTTGTTAATCTATTAACTGTTGAGAACAGAACACGCAGATTGTTGCTGCAGCCTTCAATCATTTCAGAAAAATACCTTTCTCTCGTACTACGAAGCACCCGGTTAAACTCGCACAACTTATCTTTGAAGATCTCGTAATCAACCTGGAGGTTGGACTTGCACCACTTCCGCTCGGCCCTCCGGCACTTTCTCTTTTGTGTCCTGTCCGAGTCTGCTTTAGCCCACGGCGCCTTCTGCTTATTTGTCACTATTTTAACCTTCACAGGGCCAACGGTATCCAGAACATTCAAAACACTAGAGGTGACAGAGTTAAACAGTTAATCTACAGTAGAACTGTAAAAAGTTTATCATTCCCATAAATAGATCACTCGTATTTTCATTTATGCGCCTTCTTCGAACAGTTGCAGAGTCCACTGGTGGTTTGTTAGTGAAACACATGTCAAAAAAAAACACAGAAATGATCCGAAAGAGCAACATCGACCACATTTACATTTGAAATATTCACCCCCTTAGTAACTAACAAGCCTAGAGTGTGCCCTCTGCTGTGGGTGGGGCTACTCACATGCTGAGTGAGACCAAAAGATTCAAGAACAGAACTCAGGTCATTTGCATTTCTCTCACTAACATTATCCACATAATATTAAAATCACCTGTAATAACTAAACTATCAAAGTCTGTGCATACAACTGAAAGCAACTCGGTAAAATTATCAATAAAACTGTGACATGACTGCGGTGGCTTGTATAGGACAATGAAGAGTATTGGAGGAGATTGTTTTTGTTGTATTTTAAAAGACACATATTCAAAAGACGGAAACTTCCCAAGAGACATTCTATGGGAGACAAAGTGGTCTCTGAAAATGGCAGCTATGCCTCCTCCCTTTTTGTTCCTCACTGGATGAGTTTCAGACAGACAAACTGGAGCACCAGCTCGAGCACCGTGACTTTTTTTGTTCAAAAGTACATTATTACAAGCATAGACCAACTTTAGCTGTGTCTAAATCCGAGTGAGTTAGAAACGGGAATAAGCGCTGTGTATGGGGAGGAGAAGCAGCGATCTGTGTGTGAGCCGAGGCGTAGGAGGAGGAGCGAGACACAGGTGTGAGCTGCTGATGTTTAGTCCGAATGTATACAAAACGTGTTATAAAAGCTTCGCTTGTCCTGCTTCAGTGCTCACTGCGAGTGCAGAGGATTTTGGGCATAAAAAGCGTCTGTTGTTGTCAGAGTCTGTGGAGGCGATGACAGATTTGTAATTGGATGTGAAAGAAGTCTGTCTGATCCCTTATCATCCACAATGAACATGTGTTGGCACATTCGCGACATATGGCGCTGTAGCGAAGATGGCGCATGAGGTGGTTTGGCAGACTGAAGGAGTTGGTGCATATCAAGATAATGCATGGCAATACGGTTTGTTGGGCTCCGTGTTGCTTTGTACAATATTGGCAGTGCCTACTCTTCTAAACATGTTGAAGAAAAGCCAGTCATGCCTACCCAAAGCACAATGGAGCGCAGGACGCAAGTTAGCTCTCCTAAGCAAGGGGAAGCGCTACTTCTCTCATCATCAATCAAAGCTGGTAAACGTTTTCGTTTTACTTGGGCTGTGTGGAGGAGTACTGTTGCTTCCGACAGTGCAAATGCACATCAAAGCGAACATTTTAGCAGAAGAGTCGTTTGAAGGATCCCAATACCCCCAAAGTTCAAACATGTTTGGATATGGTCATGGTCAACTTATCATCTTCACTGCAATCTTGGACAACGGGGCTGTAAGATCCGATCAAATCACTAAACTAGACCTACCTTATACTCGAAAGAAAAAGATGCTAGCCGATTGGACTAAAACTACAAAAGTGTTATGTCTGCTAATGCTATTAGCTGGGGACATTCACCTCAATCCAGGTCCTGTTGCGCACGGCGACATCTCGCGGCTGCCAAGTCCATCGGCCCGCATTGCAACTCGGTCCACACTGGAGGTGGAGTCGACGCAGGTGAAAGACACCGCCCGGCTGGGTACGCCGTCTTTCCGCGTCCCGAATGTGCTCCTCTCCCGGACGGATACGCTGTTGCCAGAGGAAAGCTGTGCCCTGGAGTACAGTGAGGAGCGCGCAGGAGGACCGGCGCTGGTGATAGGGAACATTCCAGCGCAGGGGCGCGCGTGCCCTGTTCCAGTGGCAAGGTTGTCGAGCCTTGCCAGCGTCACGGAGATGCAAGTGCAAAAGGATTTGGGAAATCATTGTCATCCATATCGGAATAAAGGACAGATGCCTAATACATCTTCAAAAACAGTGAGTAAACATGAATTTCACCAGTTTTTCCCCACAGTGAACCATGCAAACATTTTGTGGGACAGCAAAAGTAAACCTAAGGGTATTTTTGGAGCGCATCTGAACATTAGGAGCCTGTTGCCAAAGCATGATGAGGTTAAAACGCTGTTAATGGACTCAAACTTACACTTTTTAGGCCTGAGTGAAACGTGGCTTCATAGTAAGATTCAAAATAGTCTAATCGATATCCCAGGTTATAAATGTTATAGAAACGACAGGAAAACTGGGAGAGGAGGAGGAGTGGCACTTTATTTAAGAGATTACATGACGTGTACAGAAGTCACTTTTGATCATGAATTAAATATTGAATATATTTGTGTTGAAATCTCACTGTCATCAAGTATGCATTTTAAAATTGTTGTTTTATATAATCCTCCTTCTTTCAAAGATGTATTTTTATGATGAGTTGAGTAAATTGTTGAAATTGGTGGCCCATAAGTCCGAAGTTATTTTACTCGGTGATTTTAACATAGATTGGTCTAATTTGGGCAAAAGGAAAAAACTTAAAGCCTTAATGACTAAGTTTGATTTCACCCAAATAATTAAGGGTGCCACAAGGATCTCAAAATCTTCTAGGACACAGATAGACCTAATTTTTTCGAACAAGGACAATCGGATCTTGAAATCATACAACTTTCTAACTGGTTTGTCTGATCACAACATGATTCTCGTTGCCCGAAAATTATCAAAAAAACGTCTGTTAAATATGAACAGAACAAAGTTAAATATATTGACCATTCTAAAGCGGGATTTTCCTGCTGTCGACAATGAATTAATCGCTCTTGATTGGAACTCAATTATGGACAATGACAATGTGCATAGTTGCTGTAAAGATGTAATGAAAAAGGTTGAAGAGATCATTTCTAAATTTCTGAAAAAGCAAAAGCATTTGAGAAAGAGAACACTACCCTGGATTAATGAGGAGTTAAAAAAACTAATGAAAGAAAGAGATCTGGCTCTGAAAAAATCTGTTAAGAGCAAACTAAGTAGCGATATAAATATCTTTAAAAGTCTAAGAAATCGAGTCACTAAAAATCTAAGAAAAGCAAAAGCAGACTATTACATTACGACAATAACAGAAGCCAAGGGAAGCCCTCTCATAATGTGGAAGCAAATAAATGGTATTGTGAATCCGTCAGGCAAAACAATGACCATCCATGAGCTTAGAAATGGAGGCAGGCAGATTAGGGATAGTAAACAAATAGCGCTGGAACTTAATAATTTTTTTGTTGCGTCAGTGGAAGAACTGGTGCAACAATTTAACTCAGAAAAACTACAATTCACTAAACATCAACTAATAAATCAACACTCTTCATTCTCACTACAGCAGACCAATGAAGCAAAAGTGCTTGAAGCAATAAATTCAGTTAACCAAAGCCATAGTAAGGATCTCTTTCACATAAACGCAGCCTTTTTGAAACAAAATAAAAACGCTTTTGTAAAGCCTCTGACGCACCTGATCAATTTGTCTATTCAGAGCGGACAATTCCCCACACCTTGGAAACAGGCAAGAGTAATGCCAATACTTAAGTCAGGAGCACCAGACCAGGCATGCAATTATCGACCTGTAAGTATCTTGCCTGTATTCTCAAAGGTGTTAGAAAAAATTGTGTACAGTCAGCTAATGGCTTTTATACAATCAAAGAATATTTTACACCCATTACAATTTGGCTTCCGTCCCCAATACTCAACTGAAACGGCAAACTGCTTCTTTGTGGAGCAACTCAAACTTGCAATAGATAGGGGAGAAATCATTGGCGCTGTCTTTTTGGACCTCAAAAAGGCATTTGATACGCTAAATCATGACATCCTCATCCATAAACTGTCCAATTTCAACTTTACAACATTAACTTTGCAGTGGTTCAAATCATATCTTGAACAGAGAGATCAGTGTGTGGTGGTCAATAATCAAATGTCTACATTTTTAAAAATGAACACAGGTGTACCGCAGGGGTCCATTCTTGGGCCCTTGCTCTTCACATTGTACATTAACGATTTGCCAAACTCTTGTCCTACAGCAGGATTCCAGATGTACGCTGACGATGCAGTGGTTTATGTGCCAGGGAAAAGTGTGCATGCAGTTTCTGAGGAACTGGCAAAACATCTGCAAACTGTGGCGGTGTGATTTCAAAACGCAGGTTTGTCATTGAATCTTAAAAAAACCATGTCTGTTTGCTTTGCCTCAAGATTAAAGTCCATATCCGAAGAACTAAATTTACAGATAAATGGTTTCAAGATCAAGCAGGTTTCAGAGGTCAAATACCTGGGCCTTGTACTTGACTCACAACTTAAATTTGACAGTCATATCAAAAAAATCTGTCGAGTGACCAAAGCAAATCTTTACACATTCAGACTGATCAGGGACTACCTACCGTTTCATGCTGCTCACACTTTCATGCACGCCATGATCTTCTCGCATATAAGTTACTGCATCTGCTCATGGTCACAGGCCACTGCCACTACAGTCATGCCACTACAAATGATTTATAACAGAGCGGTTAAAATCCTAGATAGGAAGCCCATTAGGTCACATCATTGTATCAGTCTGAGGAATTTAAACATTTTAACTTTTGAAAACTTTATTAAATTTTCCCAGCTGAAGCTGATGCACAAATGTTTGAACCAGCAAGCCCCAAAGGTCTTGAGTGAGTGTATAGTTCCTCTCAGGGCTGTGGGCTCAAGGACTAGAGGAGCTCAGAACGGGAACTGTCAGATCCCGAAACGAAATACTTCATTTGGACAATCAGCTTTTTCCGTACAAGGCACTAAAGCCTGGAACTGTTTACCCACTGACCTGAAGGGAGAGTCAAACTGGGTCCCTTTCAAACACGAACTTAAAGACTCTTTAATCAGAGGTCAGAAATGTGACCACTGACCGTCTGCTCTGTTGTGTTTGTGTTGTACTGTATTATGATATGTGTTTTAATTATGTTTTAACCATGTATTTTTTAATTTTTATGTAAAGGCCCAACTAGGGACGGACATTGAGAATTAGCTTTGGCTAAAATGTTGTAGTATGTAACATGAGCTTATGTGACATACTTGTCCCTATTCAAATAAACTTAAAATGAAATAAAAATGAAAGTGTTGCTTAAACTTATGTATTCAGTCATTATTCAATGCTTAAATAAAAATCCATGTGAAAAAAATGTCTTCTCACCGTTATCAGGTCAAATATTTATATGCGATTTAAAATGCGTTTAATTCTCTGAGGAGGCATCATGTTAGCTCACAACAACATGGTTAGCTTCTGTGTTTGAGAATAAAAATTCAAAGCATCCCTGAATGCAAAGGGGAAAAATAGCTAATTTCAAGGCCATTTTCTCCTGTTCCTCCGACGAGAAATCTTCATCCGAGAACAAGGAAGAAGAGAAGGAAGAACCGGAGCACATCACACACAATCTCTTCAACATCGACATCAGCGCTCTCCCCGCCCCTGCTGTAGCCACGCCCCCTAGTGCGCCAATCAACCGGAACACGGGTAAATGCAAAGAAAACCACACCACACCAAATCCCCGACCAGATGTTACTTACCCCATTCACATAAACCTCAAGTGACATTTTTTATGTATGTTCTGACAATAGCCCTATGCATATAAAAAGGTTTATAGTTAGTCCTGTGCATTTCCCTTGTCCGCTCTATTCACAAAAACACACACAGATCACACACATCTGGGTGCGTTTATGTGAATAGAGCACAAAATGTAGCTCCTTTTAACCAGACACAACATGATTTCATAAAAACTACTTCTACTTTCACAATACCATGATACTTTGCAAGCTGAGTGGGTCATATCTTATTGAATCTTTCCAATGCTAAATGGTCACATGGATCCAGCTGTTTTCTTTTATGGACCTTCTTGCTGTGAGGCGAAGGTTTCCATTAAACATAGACTTTAAGATTCAACAAAAACAAAGGTTAAACAGATTTCTACACTAATTTTTGAAGTCAGAAATGGGACAAAGCTCATAATACTTGAGTCCCGTTGATTTAAATGTTGCAGTTCTGTGATAAGCCAGCAGATGGCAATGAATTCTATTGTTTTTGTGCATGTTTCAAACTCACTCTAGTTTTCCTCCACAGCTTTCCCATTTGGACTTGCACAATTCTATAACTCCCACTGCACATTTAAAAACAAATTCAATTCAATGTTTGTGTGCAGCCCTGAATCCTTAGCAACTTATATAACCCTGTGTGGAAAAAAATGAGAAACTTTGGGGAGGCCCATAGGCCCATGTTTCTATGGGAGTGATCCACCTCAAGCTAAAATTATGGGATTTGCTTAAGTATCAAAAAGGTGACGTGTTCCAAAGTTACAAACTCCCTTTAAATGCGTCACATTCTTATAAACCCATTTTTATGAATAGTTCAACAGTTCTTGTTCTATTCCTAATGTCTGTCAGATCATTCTGCTCTAGCTTTAGTCTGATTCTACAACTGTTCATGGTTTCCCCTCCAGCTCACTCCGCTCAAGACAAAACAAGAGACGAACAGGATTGTTTTGGTCCAAAGCTGCCTCCACCATCTTCTACTTTGAGTGAGTTCACATGCTCCAAGTATTCATGATGGGGTCTCTCTGGTCTCTCTGGTCTTTCTGGTCTCTCTGGTCTTTCTGGTCTCTCTGGTCTCTCTGGTCTCTCTGGTCACTCTCTGCTCTGTCGGTCTTTCGCTGTGTGTATACTCTCAACAACATCATATAACCGCTAGTATAAAATGTCAGTTCTTTTTTGTCAGAAGAAAATGAACTGTATAATATTACTATGTGAAATGTTTTGTTCGTTTAAATCACAACTATTTTTTTCCTTTTGTTCAGGCAGGAGCACAGGTCTACGGCCCAGATCCAGGTGAAAAATCCAAAAAGTCCAAAGACAAGAAAAACAAGAATAAAAAGGAGCATAAGCACAAGAAGGAGAAGAAGGTAATGATTTTAAATGCTGTTTTACAACATCGAAAAGGGACAAAACCAGGACCACATCACAATCTAAACCTGGACTAGACCCAGACCCAGGTTTTCCGTCCAATTTAGACCATTTCTGGCCTCAATTATTATTATTTTTGACCAGTTTAATCCACTTTATAATGTAACAAAAGCTAAAGTCTTGAAAAAGCAACACTTTGAGACCACGGCCTGCTGTCGTCATCTTCATATACAGCATGATATCTTTTGCATATGTAACAGACCCAGGTCCTGGGCCTGTTTGAGCAGATTAATAAATGTTCCTGAAAAATACAGGATAAGGATGAGTGAGGCGGACACGGTGTTTCCTTTTGTCTCGCTTCAGCCATATTTATTAATACAATCATGTGTTTTCATCCTTCAACATTTACAAATGCTATTCACACAATCATGTATAATAATAATCACATTTCAATCACATTTTAATCATTTAATCATGTACAGTAAATGTCTAAATTACCCTTGACATTGTATCTAGTCAATTAAATACTTTTTATCTATTTATTTTGTCTGTATTTAATATACATATACCATATCTTATTCATAATGTAGCTGTACTCCTTTTTTAAACTACTTATGTACCACTACTAGCTTAGCAGCTCCTGAGCTACGAATACTGGCTTTAACTTCAGATGGAGACCTTTTTAACTGTAATTATTCAAACCTACAAACATTAACTTCAAATGTACACACAACAAACTATGTCAGGGCACGTAAAATTCAGTATCACTATCTAAATCGGAGCTTGAAAAATAAAATACGAGACACATAAGATGGCGGTCGTTACTTCGCCTTGACCAGTTCTACGTCATGGTGCTACGTCCCTTAGGACTTCGCTAGTGGGATATCACTCGTGACCCCCAGGTCACGCGCCAGAGAGATCAAAATAATTTGCTCCAATCACCAGCCACCTTCCTCTATAAATGCCCCTGCACAAGGCCGTACCCCCTCTTTCACTCTGGCGCCGATTGAGATCTACATTTCAATTTACCTGAGGAAAGATGTCTTCTGATGCTCGTCCGAGTTCCCCTTCGCCATCCGGCGTCGGACGTCGTCGTTGCTCGACTTGTCGGGTCAAGCTCCAGCGCAAGGACCAGCACTCCAGCTGCTTCGTGTGCCTGGGTTCGGGCCATGCGGCGTTGAGCGCCACCTGCGCCTCGTGTCTCGCTCTCCCCAGGGAGGAGAGTGAACGCAGGCGCGCGTTCTTCGCCGCTACAGCGCCCCGTCCGGACTCCTCTCAGGACGAGGAGTCTGTGATTGACTGGGCCCCCCTCGACCTTCCACCCGTGCCCGCGGAGTGGGGCGACTGCGAGGACGGAGAGGTGTCGGAGGTAGGCTCTCTCCTCACGCTGGACGAGGTGGTGTCCAACCCGGAGCCGGACCGCTTCCCGCTGGACCACATGCCTGGGCTCTACTCCACGGCGGCGGCCATCATGGATGCCCCCCTGCCACCGCAACCGAACCAGAGGGTGGAGGACTTCACCTCTGGTTACGCCACCACTCGAGGGAGGAGGAGAGCGCAGCCCACGTTGTGCCCGCGTATGGACCCGATCGTCCATTACGCGACACGTGAGTGGCCAAAGCCCCTAGCGGCCAAGAGGCCCGCTTTGGGGTACGGCATGTACTGTAACGTGCAGGACTGGTCCTGGACCGGCGGGGTCCCGGACATCGAGGACTCGGTTCGAGCGGCCCTGCACCCCTCCGCATCCGTGTGGCCCGGCACCAGACCTCTCCTTCCCTCCGAGCGGGACAGGATGTCTTTGGCGATGCACGATAGATGTTACGCCAATGCGGCTCAGGTCGTCGCGGTGGCTAACAACATGGCCTTCATCACCGGGGCCCTGGATAGGTCTCTCTCTTCTGGCCAGGCGCTCAGTGGAGACACCTTATCCCAGGCGAGGACCACTTCAGCAGCGATCCTGCGCATGTGCCAGGCGCTAGCTGTCGATGGCGGCCGCACGATGGCAGCAGCACAAGTTGGGGCCAGACACCTCTGGCTGGGGCCGGTGAACCTCAGAGAGGCGGAGAAGAGGCAGCTGCTGGACCTGCCCATCTCCCAAACGTCACTCTTCGGTCCGGAGATGCAGACGCTGATGACTAGGCTGGACACCGCAGCTAAGGACTCTGCTAGCCTAGCCCAGCATCTAGCTGCGAGACGCGAGGCCCGCCCACCAGCGCGGAGCCGCGACAGAGGCAGGGAGCGCTCGCCCGGCAGGCGCCCCGGACCATATCCACGCTCCGTGGTTCATCGTTCCCCAGCGACGAGGCCCCCGGGCCCAGACAGGCACACGGGAGGCTCGCGGGACCAACGCACCCACCGACGACCTCCCTATGGCAGAGGAGGTCGGGGTGGGAAGAATTCTTTCAATAAAAGCCGTGCGGCATTTCATCAGTACTCACTGTCTGAGTCTCATTTGGGGGTATGTAACATGTCAAATGATTTGAATTCTGATTGTGTTACTTCTCGAGCATATAACGTGGCTCTGCTAGGCCTGCAGCCCCCAGAGAAGGGCGTGCAGCGTGCTACGCGGGCCACGGGCTCCGATTCACGGGTTCATGTTTTGCCCTCCGGGAGAGAGGGCAGGCGGAGGGATCTGGTAAGTGATAATGTGTGTGCTCCAGCCGAACGCGTGTTAGCATCTCTGAGCTACAAGGCTAACACGGGGTTTCCCACTCCAGGGGCTCGTCCCCCCCTCCATGAGGCAAGAGCCAAGGGGAGGCACAGCAGCCGTGTCACGTGTGGTGAGCAGAGCTACAAGGCTAACACGGGGTTTCCCACTCCAGGGGCTCGCCCTCCCCTCCATGAGGCAAGAGCCAGGGGGGGGGCACAGCAGCCGAGTCACGTGTGGTGAGCAGTTCCGTACTTATGACGTCGGGCCTGCAGAACACGTGACCGCCCTCGGCGCTCACGGTGTGACGCAGGGGCCCCCCCGGCCCTTTCAGCCACCCCCCCGGCCCTTTCAGCCACCCCCCCTCCCTGCTAGGAACACCAGGAGAGGGCGGGGCCGTGACGTCTCGTGTTCCAGCTCCCGTTCCGCCCCTCACAGACTTCTACAGCATCTGAGGGAGCAGGGCCTACTGACAGATATTTGGCTGGAGAAAACTCTGCGCAGAGGTTACGCGCTGCAATTTTTCCGAAAGCCACCACCATTCCGAGGCGTACGGGCAGTACGCTCTCAGGTACGGGGATCGACAGAGGCACTACAAGCGGAGGTCTCCTCTCTGCTGAGTCGAGGCGCAGCAGTGGAGGTAGACCCGCAGGACGCCACCAGGGGGCTGTACTCCCCTTACTTCTTAGTGCCAAAGAAATCAGGCGGGGTGCGTCCCATTCTGGATCTGCGCGTGTTAAACGAGTGCATTTCCAAACGGCAGTTTCGGATGCTGTCCACAAGGCAGCTCCTCGAGTGTGTCAGGGAAGGAGACTGGATGACTACCATAGACCTGACAGATGCGTACTTCCACGTGCCCATAGTGCCAGAACACAGGAGGTTTCTGCGCTTCGCAGTGGGAGAGAGGAATTACGAGTACTGCCGTCTACCCTTCGGGTACGCACTCGCGCCTCGGACTTTTTCCAAATGTGTGGAAGCAGCTCTGGAGCCGATCAGACGTGCGGGGGTAAGAATATTAACCTATATAGACGATTGGTTAATACTGGCCCCATCCAGGGAAGTGGCCCTGAGCCACACGCACTGGGTCCTGTCCCACATACAGCGTCTGGGCTTTGTGGTGAACAGGGAGAAGAGCAAGCTGCAGCCAGCCCAACTTATGGTTTATCTCGGTCTGCAGCTAGACTCTGTGATATTCCGTGCTGCATTGTCCGTGGACAGACGGATGAATATTACCCGTCTGGCCCGGGAGGTTCTGGCTGTTGTGTTGGGTTCACACATTAACAACACTGCTTTGGGTAGTTCTCATGGAGCCCGTTTTATTCACGTGCTCGTGTTCATACCACACTCCAGGTCTCCCCCTGGTGGCTACTCACTTATAAGAGTATAACAGTATACTGTAACAACACGATTACACCACATCCCCCTTACTGAAGTTACGTTGACACCCAACCTTTTCTGTTACAGTAAACAAAACACATAACTAAATTAAACCTTGTTCAATTGTTATGTCCACTAACTATATCAATTAACTCACATGTACTTATACTTACATGTAGATTTTAACCTTTTATCGGATAAACCTTTGATACAAACATATCCGATTTATATAACCACGCCATTTACAAATTCGAACCTGGCACATCAAATAAAACATCTTTCTGATTTCCATTATAGATCAAGTCTTTTTGGTTTTCTCACTTCTCTACCAGACCTTGTTTTCAAAACATCCTCCTGTGGTTTTGTCTCAGTAGCAGTCTCTGTAGGAGTGTTCTCACTAGACTGGATCTGCTGCGGTTCTGTATCTGTCTCTGTATTCGGCATAGGAACAAGATGACTGCGGTTCCTTCTGATTGTCCCGTGTGGTCCATTGATGATGTAAGATCTTGGAGTTGGGTGTACAGATGTCACAGTCCCTTGTGCTTTCGTATTTGTGACCCAAACGGCTTGTCCGGGTAACAGTTTGTCCATATCTCTGGTTCTGTGTCTTTCGTTAAAACATTTCGTTTGTCTCATCCTTCTCTCTTTCTCTATTTGACGAATCTGCTGCAGATCCGGCAAACACGGCTGTAACGCCTCAGGAAGCATAGGCAAAGTAGTGCGCAGCCTACGTCCCATAAGAAGCTGAGCCGGGCTGTAACCATTTGCCAGAGCTGTGGTTCTGTAAGCCAAAAGTGCTTTGTATGGATCACTCGCCTTTTTGAGAAGGTTTTTGACTGTTTGGACCGCTCTTTCTGCTTCTCCGTTACTCTGAGGGTACCTGGGACTACTGGTCACATGCTCAA